AATAACAACTGATTGTTTAATCTGTCCTTAAGAAACTTGGTTACTGAAATTCATTCCTCCATTGAACATGAGATCAAAACGAGGACTGGAATTTCAGGTAAGCGAAGCAGTGTCTAATAAGAGGTGGATGCTTATCGGTGATCACTCGCATTTGAAGGATGAAAATGACGTGTCATATAAAAGTAGCGACAATTCGAAAAGATGAATTAACGGAAATTTGATATGAGTGTTATTTTGGACGTTCATTCATTATTTGATGAAGTGAAGTGTTCCATATCTCGTAGCAATCATAATAGTAATGTTTCAAAATGTATATTTTTGCGAATATTGCAAGAGAATAACATTCGAACGAGAATTTTGAGAGTGTATTCATCAAAATATCATCAAGGACATTGCAAGGAATAGAGTGGCTGCTGGCCGCTCGAAACATTTGATTTCCAAGCGATCTGCACAGCATACACTTACTTACGTCTGTCTGTTTGCGGGATTTATAATGTTTTGGCAGATCGTTCATTTGGGATGTTGATAGAAGAAGACAAATCGACATCAAAAAGCGTTTATTAGCTAGAAAAACAAAATAGCAATAGATCGCAAACAATGGAATGGCGTTATTGTTCTGGGTTAGAAAATGATTTTTGTAATGGTGGTCTCGACTCAGAGGATAGACAACTGCTACAGAAGCAAGCAACACGAAAAAATGCTAGTTCTCCTTAAACACTTTTCTTCTCCTCCGTCGGCATCCATGCACCGGGTGAACGCTTCTGAAATTTTGTAATGCGCATCAGATGGCAAACGAACTTCAATTTAATCTGTGATCTAGCAGAATGTTATGCATTTAACAGGGTCATGCTCTCACACAGTTCGCATATGATCATTCCGAGAACATTTTTGACCGTAGAAATTTATTAGAATGAATAATCATTGCTTTCGGGTACGAACGTTACCATATTCTTTTAGAACTGAACAAAATTTCATTGCATTTTACATGAAGTGAGAATCGGTCACCTTTTTATCGTGGAAATGTGGTACGGGGTAAGCATAGGGCTCACGGGAGCGCTTCTCGATGTCGTCGTCCATATCGAAATCATCACGTGGGTCAAAACGATTGCTTTCATCGAACAGTATCCAAGATGGCGGTGGCAATCCACGAGGACTTCGCTTGTTTACTCTCAGCGGATATTGATACGGTAACGGAAAACGACTCAGTATATCGTATCGCATCGATGGAAAGTAATTGCTTTGTCGTTTCCGACGTACTGTAATTTATAACCCATACACTACAGTACCACACAATTGTCATGAGTAATTCACAGTTATCATGATTACATGTGTTATACTGATTATCTGAACATGTACCTTTTTGAATACAATATTAGCTGGTTATATCAGTGTAAACATTTATTTTACTAACCTTCATCTTCGTCCTCTGATGGCTCATCGAAAAAACTCAGTTGCATGGAAAGATCCAAGCAAATGAGCACTAGAAACAAGGCAGCTGATGACTTAAGGAGCATTGAAGCGGATATGGAACTGAAAAAAAATTGAAAAACGCAAGGAATGGAACAAGAAATTTGGAATGAGCAGCCCTTTCCAATATTAAGTTTGACTGTAGGTTTGACCTGATTTATTGGAGAAAAATAGGCAAGAAAATCTGAAACAGCTGGGAAGNGAAGCGCAGTGCTGGGAAGCAGTAGTAGAAACTGCGATGTTTCAATGGATTCGCAACGCGATTCTAGCACTTATATACCGAATTTGTCGGTTAGTCGAGTGAAGTGCACGATGAATCATTAATCAGCCCAGTACCGTGCAATTTCCGCTTTGCCTCTGCCGATGTCTCATCAATTATTCGAAATCGTTACAAAGGAACAGCTACAGAGCGTAATTCAATCCAGGATATCATAACGATGCTACAAATCCGGAAATTCAATCTTGTACGTGTATATGTAAACGCTTGTTCGCAATCAGTTTAATTGAAAATAAATAAATGAAAGAAAATTGAGTGCATATGGCTGGAATAATTCAGTCTGGGTTGTTCTTTTCCATACTGCCTCAACAGAACTGTAAACACTGCTGGGCACATAATGAAATTATACAACCTTCGGAAGAACATCCCTTAACGATCTCAATAAAAAGCCAGAAGCATTGAATACGACTAGATTGATAGTGCTAAGAACATTTGTATGCAAATGCAATGAATGTAAAATAAACATGAGTGCTTGCTTGCTTGATCACTATAGATCAGTTGAAACTACAGAAGTATGCTTGCTTGATCACTGGAAAACCGAAACCTGCCATAGGGCAGCGATCTTGAATCTTTTATCAAGCGTGACGTTGTCCAGAACTTAATAAATGATCGATATATGTGAGCAAACCGTTTGCCTCTTCGAAGAAGTATATTTGGACGTGCCACGGAATTTCTGAAGTGTTTCATGGATGTGATAGAGGCGCTTACTGAGCTTGAAAGCATGGCGTAAGTATATCTTGTGTTGATCTGTTGATATGCTGCTATCTTTTATAGATTTATGATATACTTGATATTGATATGTTGGATGTTGATGCTTTATAATGCCTGTCATATTGAAAGTGTGCACTTAGTGAAAACAATTTGAAGAAAAAAGAAATCGGAGCAACGGTTCAACTCCGCCGCACTTCTTTTTAAGTGCTACAAAAAAAGTGTGACATGTTCACTGGAGATAGAGCATTGATAAACCATAAAACGAATGAAATGTTTATTGCATGAACTGAAATAAAACGACGATTAATTATCCAGGTGATGAGTACATAGCAGTATAACATATCCATTCCTATTGCAGAGATCTATTGCAGTTTCAAGTTGTTTCGCCATTGAGAAAACAGAAATGACGGCAAATACTTCACGCGTTCCCATAATAAAGATTTGGCAAATCTTGGTGGCCTCTTGCTTGATCTGCTGAGTTGTGGTCGTTTAGTGCTGAGTTGAAAATATTCTGGTGATGAGGATCGTTCGTCAACGGATAATCCAAATCTAATCTGCAATGTGAGTGACATGATTAGCGAATTTCTTAGTACGATCATAGGGGTCCCACACCTGTCGTCCCATCCTGTGTAAAACAAGCACATGGTGCTTGTTTGGGCTGGCGGTTATGCGAAATGTTGATGAATCAACAGATTAGGGGATTTTCGGTGAAGATGTGAGAAAACGAAATGACCGCAAATAAATTCGGTAGATTCGAACGAGTTCAATGGAATATGCCTAGATGGAGAGTCGATTAGATGGTCGTATTACCCGTTCACTTCATTAATTTTGATCTTTTGATTGTTGAGGTCAGCAAGCCATAATGGATCATCTGTAGAATGTGGATAGCCACGAAATCCTCGTGGTGACCGATCGGAGAATGCGCGATGCCCTGAATCTATCTGAAAGAATTCTATCGACTTGCATTCTGTTGCCCAATCTATCGAAATTCTAGATCAGTTGCGATTATTGTATGCTTCAAAAGAATGTCTAAAAGTTGTTCGATTTGAATTTGTAATATGATTATGAATAGTGAAAGTTTTTATGTGGCTTGTTATCAGACCAGTGCTTCTCATATGGGTGAAATTATACATTTTGGATAATTTGGAGGTGTGAAGAGGTAATGGAGGGGGTCGGGAAATTAGTATTTCGTGCAGTTGTTGGTTTACGATAAAACACCGTTGTGATGGTGTTTTTTAAGTCGAATATTTAAATGCGGTTAGTTGATGGCATCACGTTCCATTCTCCTATGAGTATCAGTAGCCTGTCGGGCCTAACACGGTTTTCATTTGTTTTAGCAGGGTTTTCATTCTTTTCCGAGCTGTTATAGTCGCTCTCATGACTTTTATCAGCAAAAGTATTCTCATCTGATAATTTCTCATTCATTTTACTCCACAATCAAA